TTGTTTATGTTTGGTTTCTTTGTTTTAAAATTACTGTGTTTTTAATAGATATGCTATGGTTTTTTGAGTTGCAATGGTGGAAAACAGTTGGGAATGGGTTTTTTCTATTGTGTTCTGTGAAACTAGTTTCCAATTTTCTTCCTGTTTCTCCAATGTAGAATTCTGGGCAGTTATTGCATGTTATTTTGTAGATGACATTGGTATTGTGTGATTGTAAATAATTTTTGCTTAGTAACAATTTTAATTTAGGTCTGGGTTTTAGAGAGAATTCTACATTGACAGGAATATTGTGTTTAATGGCTAGTTTTGTCCAAGTGTGGGTAATTCTTGAGCTGGTTTCAGGGACAAAAGGTAAATTGCAATGTAATGTTCTGTTATTGGGTTTGTTAGTATCAATTTTGTTCTTGAGGTGAGTTTTGTTGTGGGGAATGTTGGAGAGTTTTTCAACAATAGGTGGTGGAAATTTATTGGTGTGAATGAAGGAATGCTTTATGTGGTTGACTTCTTCATCTATGTAGTCCGTTCAAACATTTCCTTCAAATAGATGGTTTAAGTATGGGCAATCCTGTTTTGCCCATTCTTGCAAATATATTTATGACCCAGATCGAAACACAAGCCATACATTCTGCGCTTCATCCCCCACTATACTGGTACAGATATGTCGATGACACTTTTGCTGGTTTCACTTCTACAGAACACACACACTAACTTTCTTTGAACATATAAATTCCATTCATCCCAACATCAAATTTACCATAGAACACGAAAACAATAAACAGTTATCTTTTCTTAACCTCAACATTATTAGATTGGACACACTATTTAAAACCAAAATTCACTGTAAGCACACACACACCGGCCTCTACATCCCCTGGAATTCTGCTCATGATACCACACAAAAAATCAATACATTCAAAAACCTCATAAACACAGCCACAAGATTCTGTTCAATGGTAACAGGTAACACAAAACTCATTGTTGAATCCAGACCTTTCCACCAGGGGTGTAGAGAACGTGAAGCTGGAGGGATAGGGGTGAACTAAAATTCGACAAAATGGAAAATACTGTACTTCAGGGAGGATTTTTTTGCACAGGGGGAATTGTCATCTGAATTCAACACTGACAAACCTACATATAACTTTACTAAGCTTAGAAGTTCAGATATTGATAACGCAGTCAACCGCTGATGTAAATTATGCAAAAAATTCCGTGGCCACCTAAATCTTACTCACATTAAGAAACAAGTGGCAACTTGTCCATGGGGAGGTTTCAATGAACATTAAAAATAATAACGTTCCAAACTTCTGATAAAATTCCTCACTGAGAGCAGCCTTGGGGGTCTTGAACTTTTGGTAAATTAGTACATGAACACAAAATATGTCACTATAGTTTGTCTTAGTAAGTTACAGAAACAGCCCAGTACTATGGTGATATATAATAAAACTTTAAACATATTTCTCCAATTAAAATACGTCAACAGGTATTACCATCAGGCCGACCGTAAAACCTTTACTCAACTTCTTACGCTCCAAGTGAAGGAAAGAGAATAGGAATTTTAGGCTGGAAGATTCTTCCATGTATGTTAGGAGATAGGAGTCCTCCCTTCTTACTTCGAGGATATAAATGAAGAAACTCCTACCAAATCGCTTTTAAAGCCGCAAGTCCTCTTCCGAGGAACTTTAACCCCTCTGTTACCTGTAATCCTTCAAGAGCTAATACACAACTTTTTATGTTTTCCTTGGTGGCGTCGACCCGTCTGTTTCAACTGAAGAGATACTCACTATTCTTCTGAATACACCAAACTACTCGATCCACGCAGTACACTGCATCACCTCCAGAATAACAGGCTTACCAACTGACTACATCTAGATAGTCACCCCTTCCAAAACTACTGCTTAGCACTTACTAACTAACGGTTTCTTCTATTTATTTTTTCACTTCAGAGCTGAAAGACTGAGACAACGCCCTAAGTCTGTGAAATCAGGTGGATTATGTGGTTGCTTCATAACTGGTGTTATCTGTGTGGACTTGTCTGTGCCCCCCAGTAGCACAGCAGTATGTCTGCAGACTTACAAGGCTAGAATCTGGGTTTTGATACCCGTGGTGGGCAGAGCACAGATAACCTACTGTGCAGCTTTGTGCTTAATTGCAAACAAACAAACAGACTTGTCTGTAGTGTCTGCATTTTTCTTGACTGCTTCATTGCTGATGTGTCCTGAGAGTTTACTGGCTCGTGCAAGAGGAATGAGAGGCTTGATAGAAAGTTTTGTAAAGGTTATAATTACCACCAACCAAGAAGAATTCACCGAAGACTCAATCAACACAGATTCCTGTAGCACAGTCAACCAAGTTCAATGCCTCGACATCCACCAGTAGCTGTCAAACATCCAACTGAGAATCCCTGACCCAAACTGCCAATAAAGGACTAACAAATTCAGACTGCAGATCAACACCCCGATGACTTTCACTGATTTCTTCGGTCATCCAAGCAGTCCCAGTCGCCCACCTGGCTGCCTCCAAGCTCACCGCACGGACTTGTACGGTTCCACTTCTTCCACCACCTTAGTACACTCAGATTCCGATGAAGATTATGACCTAGCATTCCCAAGCCTCTCATCGAGCTTCCACACTCTTAGCCTTTTTAAAAATGTTTTAATACACCTATGATATTAACCATCATGTTTTACTTCCAGGCACGGTCTTTGGCATTTTCTTTCAGCACCCTGGCCATGAATGTGGGTTTTTAGTGTAAATAATACAATAAGCTGCTCCTTTGATAGTAATTTGGAAAAACAATTCAAAAACTTTGAAAAAATGGAAAGGAAGTTCTTCTTGAGCTTGTTTTATAATTAATATTCTCAGTAAAAAATGGCTAGTTTTCAAAACTTAAGCACATGTATGAATCTAAAACTTGCAGCACACAGTTTTAAGTCAAACATAACATAGAAGTTTTGGAAAAAGAAACACACACACACAAGAAAAGACCAAAGTAGTAAAATTCATGAAACACAAGTCATCTTAAACAGTCACCAAGGGCAAATCTCAAACTGCATCCACTACCTTATCAGTAATTTATAAGGATTCATTTTTAGATTACTATTCTTTTCACTAATAAAATACAAAAAGACTAATGTTTCTGGCTAGTCACTTACTGTATTAGCATATTTGGCCAGATTCAGACAACCACCTTGATTGAATTGGTTAAAGTGGTCATGTAACATAACACATTTCTTGAAGATTATCTAGAAAAAATTAATTCATCAAGCTACTAATATCAAACAATTTATGCTCCCTGGTTGCTCTGCAGTATGTTTGAGGGCTTACAACACTAAAATCTGGGGTTCAGTGGCCCAAAGTCGATAGAGTGCAGTTAGCCCATTGTGTAGCTTTGTGTTAAAAAATAAACAGTAATCATACAATGAAAAACTGTTCAGTATAAAATAATTTAATCTCAGAAAATGTTTACAAATTACAGAATAAATTTTTATATACACTAAAAAAATGTATACCAGATTTATGTACTTGTACATGTTTTAACCAATGATTTTAAATTAAACTGAAAAAAAATATAGGTCAAGCATTCAGGTATATAGTATAAATAAAATAAAACTGTAACCTCATTTTTGTATATCAAATAATGGATTAAAATATTATTTTTATTTTATCATTCCTGTAAGAGTTAGATAAGTAGATCTGTAAATAAATAAAATTCTGACTATGTAAAGAACAATATATGTACACACAAACATATTGGAGTTTGAAGACACCATGCAAGTAAATTAATGATCAACTGTATAAATTAAGATATATGAACAACCTACTTGGAAGGAAGTTTATAATAAGTTATGTAACAATGATGACAAACGTAATCTTCAGTTTATCCGTTATTTTATATATTTGACGTATTCTTATGAAATGTCATTTTACTCCTGAGTATCTTGGTTTTGACTACACACAAGTAGTTTCTTAAATCGGGACTAAAGTTGAATGGAAGAAGAGCTTATTTTAAATTATGTCAATCTTTTAGGCAACTACCTGTTTGATGTCATTTTATGTATGGTGTGTGTGTGTATATATGTTTATAAACTTAAAAAAAACTCATTAAACTTGGTGTTATCTGCAAACTTTATCAAGGATATGGAGGTACTACTTGTCTCACCAATAAGTGGAATATATGTCAGTATGTACTTGAAAAACATGTTGCTTTATTGTTGTTTTAGTTATTCAATATGCTGATTAATAATAATTACACTGACATCAATCTCTTCGTAAAGAACCTGAAGTTTATTTTGACAGAATTTAAAATAGCTTTTTTAAATAATTAGCTATACTGATGGCTTGATTGATTCTTTAGTTTTACTTGAAGTAAATAGCTTACTCTGATTGGAAGTTATTATGATTATTATTTAGAACTGTTCTAGGTTGGATTGAAATCAGAATGCCTGGAATACCTAATTATCTAATAATATACTTATTCTAATAGTATGAATATGGTTTATAGCATAAACTAAAGCATGATTAGAATTTCAGATGCACATTAGTGTCCAGTAATATTTATTAAAAACTAAAAACAAAGATACATAACATGGCACAGAGCAAGGGAAGTGTTTGAAAAACGTTTATAATGAAGTAACGTTATATCCTGAGAGCTTTTCATCAGCTTCAGTTAGTTAGTGTAGTGACTCACTCATTAACAGATTCAATCTCAAAGGTTGCAGTACATTTAACATTAGCCTTGACATTCAATATTGGGGTCAGCCAAGTGTATTAAGTAGAATTATTTTACACTTGAGATAATAAAGTAACAGGCTTAATGATAACTAAAAGTACAGTTAAATAACATGACTTACAGACAACAAGGGACCATTTGGTCCCTCAAGGCTCTCCTTAAACATCCACTCTTGGGAAAAGTAAAAATTTAAACCAACCCTATGCTGTTCAGGAAATAATCAATTCCTCTCTTAAACTTCTGTAAAGTGCTGTTCTTCACTACCACTGGTGGAAACTCATTCCATAAGTCAAAACGATTAGTGAAAAGAACTTTGTAACTCCACATTTTGGTGTAAACTGCCCATGCATTTTAAAATTAAACATAACTTTTAGAATGATAATTAACAAATAAATTGAAATTTTGACCTATACATGTGTGATTTCAAAGTATATGAAACACTTATATAAATGTTCCGTAAAGAAAAGAAAACAATAATCCAGATATTTAAAAAGCAAGTGATATATATATATATATATATATAGATGTTTGGAAATGTTGTAGACAGTTTTCAGAGTAGGTACAAAAGCTTATGTATAAACTATGGGTAGAAAGTGGTAAAATGTTTCAGGGCTCCTTATGTATGTGTGTGTGTTTATTCAAGTATTTTAACCTGTAACCTGTTGGTCACGTTTATATGCAGACATATGAATAAAATAACATTTAAGGACAACAAATGGACTGTTGGTCCAGTGAGGCTGTCTCATCCACTAAACTAATACGATTTCTTTAAATTTACAACTTCCTTAAGACTTATGTTGAATATTTCTGTAAGTAAAAGCCTAAAACCTTATTTGCATTACCACTAGCAACACACTGATAGGGTTACCAAACATCTCGGTTTTGCTTTAACAGTCCCATTTTTTTGGATAGCTTGTCCCAGTGTCCCAAGAAAAGTACTTGGGATGCACAAAACATTCCAGTTTTATGCTAAAGACATCAATCTGTCGGTCACATCGATTCATGAATGTAATTCACCTACTTGACTTGCTCATTATTGTAACACATATTCTTCTGCTGCCAAACCCTCTCTAAAGTTCCATCTGTGCATGGTGAGAAACCTAGGACTTACACAGTCATGTACCAAATTTCATGAATATTTAACGAAAAAAAAACAGAACTTCAATGTTCCACACATTCTTCACAAAAATATGTCTTAAAATGTTTCAAAGTAATGCTAAAAACCTAAAAGTATTGTGTTTGAGAATGTTATGGTTTGTTAAATAAATCCAGGTATGAAGTAGTCTATTTTAAGTTGAAGTGAATAATTAAAGATTTCTTAGTTGTATAATGTGACTATTTTTGCTCATTTGAAATTATTTTTTTAAAAAATGCCAATATTAATATATTTGGAACCATTCTGGAAAAATTCAATAAATTTAAAGTAAATTGAATAAAAGTTAAATTATTTCAAGTTCTAATAACCATTTTGAAATCTGATCTTCCTGTGAATAGCTTAATAGACTGATTAACCAAAACACTAAGATCTTTTTCTTTCATAACAGTATTAAAGTTATTCCCATCAAAATTATATTTATAATCCAAATTATGATAACCCATATGCATTACCTTACAATTAATATAATTAAAAGCCATCAGCGATTTTTTCACCCAACACACCAAATAGTTCTAAATCCTTTAATTCATAAAGCAGCATTATCCTCCTCACAGCCAACAACACCCAAGATTTTAATATCATCAGCTAATTTAAGCAATTTATTGACATTTCCTACATCTATGTTATTGATGTAAATCAAGAAGAGCAAAGGACCCAACACTAAGCCCTGATGTACCTCACTTATGACATTAATCCAGTTTGACTGAACTCCATTTACAACAATCTTTTTCTTACAGCTAGTTTTTGATCCAACTTCCTCAACATGTATAGATAGTTTTTTCAAGAAGTCTGTTATGTGGCACCTGAAAAAAAAAAGAGATGAGAATGCTGATGTCATCCACAAAACTCAAAAAGCTTTGTGAATAGACTTGTAACCCTATTTTTATTGTGCTGAAAAGTGATGAGAAATTCATCATTGGCTAAATGAAGTAAATTGTGTTACTGCTGTTTTCTACAAATTGTGACACTATCAAAGATATAAAGAATGGATTAAAGAAATTTATAAATTTTCCATTTCATTGGCTAAATAGACTTCTTTTTATCAATAACGTAATTCGAGTTCAAATCAGTAGGTGGATTTGAGGTACAGTTTAGGCCAAATAAATGTTTTTCTATTAATATCTACTTTGAATTTCTATTTGTGTAGTTTTGTAAAATGTAATAATTTTGGTGCCTTTCTTTTTTGTCATTTAAATACTAATCACTTCTACTAGTCATCTAAGTTCTGTGCATTTAAAGTTTTCTCATTTCTTCTTTTACACTAATTGAAATTTCTGGTCATCAAGGTTTTCAGGAACTTGCAACATATTTCCACTTTCACCTGTTTATATTACAGTAATCCCAATTAGTGGTAATTATGGTTATCTGGAGCTTGTAACATTTTTCTTCTTTCTTCCTTAACATCACCAATACAAATTAGTAGTTATCCAGATTAGGTGGAGCATGTAATGTTGAATTATGTGTTGTGTGTATAAAACTTTCTTAACAAACCACAAACAAATGTGCTGTTAGCTATGTAAATTATCTGATGTTTTTTTTTAAAGTTTTTACTTTATGTAAACTTTTTCCTACAAATATCACAGCTAAATGGCTTGTCTCAAGTGTGGATCATGAGATGTGTATTTAAATGTCCACCATGAGTAAACCCTTTTCACAAATATCCCAACTGAATGGTCTTTCACTCGAGTGGATGGGTTGATGCTGCCTTAAACCACTCTCTCTCTAACGTATTTTCTCAGGGCTGGTACTAGCACAGGATGGGGGCTGCCCACCCAAAGCTAATGCCATCCATTAAGTAAAAGCAACCATTACTCTAAAAATGTGATCCTAGGTTAATTTTTATTTAGTTCAGTGATCACTGATAAACTCTGACATGTTTTCACAGAGGATGGACATTCACTCCTCCATGTTGATAAATGAGGAAATACTCTAAATCTGAAAATTTTTCCAATACTTTGTAATTTTTGGTCAGACTCATTTCCATGTTATAGATACATAAGTTAGCTATCTTTTACTTAGGTAATGAAGGCAGGAAGGGTTAGCTTTTTAACTACTAAAGACAGAACTGGTTGTTAGGACTATACTCTTTAAAGCTGAGTCAAGTAAACGTTTCTAGACAGTGTTTTGGATCTTGCATCTTGAAATAAACAGTGTTTGTGTGACAAGAGCTAAGAATCAATTAAAATTCGATGACAATGATCCCACTTTGAGACTAATAATGCTTGAATCGATAATGAAGAAAAGCTTTAATACAAGTTTAATAGCAAATGTAAAATGTTTCGATAAGGTTTTGTCATCATCAGGTACAAGTAGTTTACACTGACACAGATATATATATATATACAGTATAGAACAAAGAGGTCACATGACCAGATCCTATTGCAAGACTTATAAGAGATATCTTGGCACCCCAGGGTGTTGGTTTAGAGTAGGTTTGTTTTGTTACTAATTAAGATGGATTCCTTGTATTTTCGTTTGTTTATTGTTTGGTTCGTTTGTTTAAATTACTTAGTTAGTTTTAATAGTATAT